CCCTCAGCTCTAAAACAGGTACACTTTTACCTGAGTTCCCTAGTGCCTACAACCTGAAGCTTCAAGACAGCGTCATCACTGACAAGGTATAGTTTATATTATATTAAATTATATTAAATTAATATTTTTTTTGACGAAAACTTGTTTTCCTTAGCTAAAATTATGTTACTTTCTACGATGATGTGTGGCATAAGTGTGGCGTAATTTAATCTTTTAACAACGGAACTTCATTTGAATGCTTTTACAAGATTAGTTTATTATTTTTTAATTTTTGTTTTATTTTAATTTTTTGCAAAGTACTTTTGCTTCTATTGTTTATATTGTTTACGAAACTTAATTTGAATGCTTTTACAAGATATTAGTTTATTTTTTATTTTTTTTATTTTTAGCGAAGTACTTTTGCTTATATTGTTTTTATACTTAGTTTAGTATGTTTTTTATACCATTAATTTAACACATACGATTTCTTCTGTAGATGAACACCTTCCTTATGATGTATAGGACACACTCCCAGCGTATTTTAGACACCGTTATCACGGCAAACTTTGAGGAGGTTTGAACAGTTTTACTTTGTATTTTAATTAGGAGACATGCTAGATTTCATGTGGGAAATAATGCTCATGTGCGTGAATGAAGAGGATAGCAGGGACATTTTTACTTCAGAATTTTTTTTTTAAATAACGAAATCTACTTGAATTTTTTTTTCTAATACATCTACATGCATTATTTTGCTGCTTTTTCGCAAGCTTTTATTTAACTTGCTTCCTTTTTCTGTCGTCAGTCTGTTTGTCGTCACAGTAAGTCTCTCCCTCTCTCACTCTCTCCTTCTCTCTTATTTGATTGCACTCTACTTATCTTGCTCTGAATCTCTTGCTCCATCTATCTTTATCTCTACCTTTTTAATGATGATAGACCTCCAATTCTATGTAAATTCTCTCAAACCTCTAGCACCCTCTCTCTTCTCTATTCTCTCTTTCTTCATTTGCAATACAAACACATGAAGTGAAATTTTGTATTTTAGAAAAAAAAATATTTTAAAAAAATATTATAGTGATATTTAATGTACTTTTTAATTTTTAAAATCTTGTAGATTCAAAATCTGCTTGTTCACTTCTGGCAAGGATACCCGCAGCACCTTCAAGACATTTTACAACTTCCGGTCACACGTGACGTCATCGCTATTTGCGATTCCATCTTGTACACGGTATATAACTTAATATAACTTGTATGTTATGTTGTCAAATTCTCACAATAACACCTATTGTGTCGAATTCTCCGATAACTAAGGCTTCTTGCATGAACAGTTGGGTGTATTATATGCAGAGTTTCTTCCAGGCATCTCTTCCCCCAAAGAAAGTCTACCACTCCCCGCCCACCCCCTATCAAAAATGTTGTCCGTCTCCCGAAAATATCAAGTGCCCTTCTTCCCCCCCCCCCCCCCCCCGGAGAAAAAAGTCTGGAAGAAGCACTGATTATGTGTTTTTCTGTAAGCTATGAAAGTAAAGTAAGTTACCGTTTCGAACCTGACGTTCCATATTGCAGGTGAAGTAGAATTCATCTGTTTTGTCGTCCACGGCATATGAAAGGGTAGTGTGGTAAGCAGTTTTCCAAGCCGAACTTACTTTCCCTACGTGAGTCAGGTATCGACTTAAGCTGGGTGGGCTCAGAGACTCCAGCCTTGGACAAGAACTCGAGACTTTCGGGTTTGCAGTCGTGCGCACTACCATCCGACCACGCCGTTCCATCACTGACTATGAACTCTTCCGAAATGAGTTGTTTGACAACAGAATGTTACCTAATGTTACCACAACGATAATATCAACCCTAAGATTTTATCAAATCTTAAGTAGACAGTAAATCGTATTAGTTTTAGTAAGTGCGAAGTTTAGATTTGTGTTTGAACTAAGTTGAATAATATGGATGAGGTTAAGTATCAAGCTAGATTTGAGATAGGGTTAGGTTTAGTATTAAGTTTAGGTCCACGATAATGGTTATTCTTTAGAGTTTGGTTCGAGTTTATAATTCTACAATGTATTTCTGTATGTTCCCAAGTTTAGACATAGTACATTAAGTGTAGCATACATTGATGATGAGTATAACTATTACTCAAAATTTATTCAAATTTATTCAAATTCAAATTTATTCAAATTTATTCAAACAACGGTTACAATTGTAGGCACAAGGGCCTTTTTTCACATTGGCCGTTTATACAAATAAAACAATTCAATAACACATAGCAGTAACATAGCACTAAAAATGTGGAATAAAGAAACAATGTTACATAGTTATCATACATAATGAGATAAAAAAGAGAATATAATAGATGAATGAGAAATGTTACAATGAGTCAGTTAGGTCATTAAATAATTTTAGCTTTAGTTTAGATTTGAATATATTTTCAGATCTAGATAGCTTTATTTTATTAGGAAGATTGTTCCACAAATTAGAACCAGAGTAGGCGAAGCTATGTTTTTGGAAAAAAGTTGAATATGGGAATGGT